TTTGGGGGGGGGGGGGGCAGGGAGGGTTTTTGGACAGATAAAACAGCAATGCAGTCTTCCAAGTGCCCATAACTGAGAACTATCCTGTTTCACATGGCATGCACTCAGTTCTCTTATGTAATATGCCACAGTATGCTTATCCAAATAAAACGATGTGTGTAATCTCTGTTTTTGCAGATATTCCATTGACAGAAGCAGTGACCCTGGAAGGTTCTTCTATGTTGACATTACAACAGGTGCCCTAATGACTGCAAGACCCCTTGACCGAGAAGAGTTTTCTTGGCATAATATCACTGTCCTTGCTATGGAAATGAGTAAGTAAAACAAAAAAACTGCTCTCCATATACTGACAAAACAGAAGCACTGGAGAAACTGTAAGTTTCTAGAGCTTGTTGAAACAAAAATTATCTTCTTTATGGAAAGGAATGGAAATCTTGGTTTATGCAAGTCAATGAATGTATTTAGTTCAAATACTTATTGAGGATCTTCTATATACGTAATCCTGTGCTAGAGATAAAAACACACAAATAAAACATGCAAAAGCAGCACAAAAAATAGCATCCTTAAATCAAAGATCTAGACCTCTATATGAAGAAAAGGGAAAACTCCTGAGAACTCTAAGAGGCTTTCAATCTTTAATAAGATTAGGAATGCACAAATAGTACAAAATATTATTATTGGATGAAAGGAAACATTTATAACATATCACCCTTATTACACACATACATATACACATACATGCATTTAAGAATTTCAGACATCTTACAACAAAAGACATATTAATATAAACTTAAAAATAAAATTGAAAACTAACAAAAACTAAATTAACGTATTTATTATAATCTCAACACAAATTAGATTATATACTACTACACTGCATATTTTTCATAACACCTAGTGATGAGAAAGATTAAGGGAAATGACAAATACTAACATATTGGCAGAAGTATGTACTGCCATTCATGAGAGCAATTTGGTAACTAATCTTTGTATTAAGATCCCCCAATATATTCATACTCTTTTTCTCAAGAATTCTCCTTTAATAATTATCTTAAGGAAATAATCATAAATATTAACAAAGATTTACGTACCCAAATGTCCACTGCATTGTTATTTTAAAATAGGGGGGAATTACCTAAATGTCTAATAATAGGAGTTTGATTAAATAAATTATGGTACAGCCACACAGTAAAATGAGACTATCATGTTGATATTAATATCCATGCTTTCAAAGTATATTTCAATGACACAGGATAATCTTGCCCTAAAATATTAAAGCTCTAAATTCAACTTTTTTTTTAAATTTCAGTGTGTGTGTGTGTGTGTGTGTATTGGAAAGTTTGGACACATGTAATATAATACATAACGTATAACAGAGCTCTCTGGTGGTAGGACTATGGATCACATTTATTCTTATGTTTTTCTGAATTTTTCATTATTCCTTGTATAAACAAGCAACACCAAGTTACAATGAAAAAAATGTAAATATGGCAGCACTTTTGGTAACCAAGCAACAGAAATATTCAGGGGAAAAATACAGCATAGACATTCTTGAGAGAGAAGAAAAAAAATGAACCAAAAGAACAGGGCATTCTGATGTTTAATGCAATTATTTACTAAGCATAATTTCTGTGTCTTATGATTTCTATTTTGTCTTCTTGGGATGGTGGCCAAAACAGAAAAAGGCAGGAGGGGCACTAGTGGGGCTGTGAAATTATCTTTGTGTGTTAACGCCAAGCAAAAGACAGACCAAAAAGACATACTTCCCCATGTGACTACGATTAACTTCTCCTACCCCAGCCAAAGATACAGATTTGGTGTGTCCTATAATATCTCCCTTAGTCCATAGGTGGAAATAAATGTGCAGTGTTATCTGTAATCCCATGAATAACTTGAAACCTTCTGAAACAGTAATTCAAAGAACTGATTACAGGTTTTCCCACTATCCAAAAGTAAAGTGTTCCTATGAAACCTTTTGTAAGCCAAAATGTTGTAAAACGAAGATGCAATTACATTAGGACACATCTTGCTAACGGATGAGCAAAATAAAAAGCACAAATGCTCACAGACACAGTTCAAAGATATGGCAGCTGGATGCCGAGTATAGTTCCTGGGGAAAGAGCTTGTTGGTGCCACTCTCACAGCTCAGGGTGCGACCTGCCTTCAATTCTAGAATCTGAAGCATGAGCCAAGTGAGAGATTCAAAACCTCTTTTTAAGATTCATTTTGTGATACCTGCTCCCCCCGAGTCTCATCCCTCCCCTCAACCTCCTGATATCACACACTCTCCAACACAAAACTCGTCCTGCCCATGCTTATGTTCTGGCCACACTCTTAATAGGCAACCCCTGCATCCTTGTGTTGCTATTTCCATGTACTTTATCCACTCCTTTAAAAACCAGAATGAGAAGGTAAATAACTATTCCAACAAAGAGCTGCTTTCTTGCATTTCTGAACCCTCCTCACCTTTGGTTTTTGTTTGTTTTGTGTGTGCTTTTAGACAATCCTTCCCAGGTTGGAAGCGTTCCTGTCACAATCAAAGTCTTAGATGTGAATGACAATGCTCCAAAGTTCCCCAGATTCTATGAAGCTTCTGTCTGTGAGAATGCCAAAGCAGGGCAGGTAAGGCAGCCTGTGAGGGTGCACCTTGGTTAACCCCCAACATGTGGAAACGACTGTTTCAGATAACCAGATCTGTCATCAAAGAAATTTAAGACTCCGGAAACTAAGTTTACAAAAGAGAGTCCCCAACTTCTGTATATCATGTTGCAACAGTTTATTTGTTAAGACAACTATTTCGAGCCTCCATTACATTTTATAATCTAAACAAGGTTGTGAATCAAGGTGGCTTACTCACCTGTGAAGCCAGGTAGTTACCCATCTTGTAACTGAACTGTATGGAACCAATTGCAGTAACATGTGCTCTGGGTCCTGGAAATGAGGGACCATGGAGATGAATATCGGGAGAAAAAAGGAGAGTCTTTTTCTCATTTTAGTGGTCATCCTTGAAAGTGTTTGTAGTAAGGAAAGTCTAGTTTTTATATCTTCCTACCTCCCTTCCTTCTGGCAGCAAGTTTACAGACTGCCTGCCCTATTCTAAGAACACTTCGTTACCTAGAATTACCTAGGTAATTCTACTCTCCCCTCCCTCAATTAAAACATCCATTTTGGGCTTCCCTGGTGGCGCAGTGGTTGAGAGTCCACCTGCCGATGCAGGGGACATGAGTTCGTACCCCGGTCCGGGAAGATCCCACATGCCGTGGAGCGGCTGGGCCCGTGAGCCATGGCTGCTGAGCCTGTGCGTCTGGAGCCTGTGCTCCGCAACGGAAGAGGCCACAACAGTGAGAGGCCCTCGTACC